ATGGTCAGAGAAGAGAGATACATAGAATATGTGATCTATTTTTACGGCCATGACGGCATGCTGCACAGCACCGGCTCGTTGCTAGAGACGGTGGAACAGGCCAGGGCAATGCTCAGATGAGCACAGGTATATCTGGATTCCTCGCCTGGAACACCCGCCAGCACATCGTATAACGGAGCACCATCTAGTAACCAGGCAGTTCATTCAGCATTTGCGATCAAGAGACCAGCTCAGTGACTTGTTGCCTAGCCTCATTCAATCTTTTGAGTTATTATACATCATCAATTAGCATTCAATCAACATTCCATCAACGTTCCAACAGTACTCAGCACTGTTATCAGCGAGCAGCACTCAGCGTTGCTATCAAGTGAACAGTACTCAGCACTGTTATCAGCGAGCAGCACTCAGCGCTGCTATCAAGTGAACAGTACTCAGCGTTGTTATCAGAGACCAGTGCCCAGCGCTGTTATCAGTGAGTGGTACTCAGCGTTGCTAACAAGTGAGCAGTACTCAGAGCTGCTATCAAGTGAGCAGTACTCTGTGTCGCTATTGAGTGGGCAGTATTCAATCAGTATCCAATCAGTATTAAATCAGTATTCAATCAGTATTAAATCAATCAGTGTTCAATCAAAATTCAATAAGTGGTCAATCAACATTCAGCCATCCAGGTCACTCGAACCTTCCAGTCAGAGCAAATCAGTTTCAGTACCCACTTCAGCACATGAGTATGATTCAGTCATTTCCAGTCAATGGGTCCGTCTTGGCCAATCTCAACATCATAGCACTCAAAGATGCAGTCCAGTATCGGTACGTCAGTGCAGTTGGCTTCAGACAAGTAAACCTATCCATTTTTGTTGTTCTCACCAGTTTTGCAACAGGCACCATCCTCGACCTGAGACTCTACGTGAAGAAAGGCAAGGAGACTCGTAAGTACTTCGGTTCAGTTCCGGTTGCTGCAGCCAAGTACTTAGAAGAGAAAGAGAAAGAGTTTGATGAAAATGGAGTACGGCTGATTCGCAGCTTTGGACCAAAGCGCTACACTGATTATCCTAAGCCTCCAGTCCCCTTTCACTCTTGCGGATGGTTCAAATTGGAGTGAACTGGTGGATCTGGCAAAGAGGTACATTTCGCCTGCAGGAATTGATTATGAGGCGGTGACCGAACCATCAGAGTTCGAGCATCTCAGACGAGGGATTTTCTCTCGGCCATACCGAACCATCAGAGTTCGAGCATCTCAGACGAGGGATTTTCTCTCGGCCATATCTTCCTACTTTATGGGAAGAGTTTTGCGCTACGGTTGACTTTCGTGTCATGGGACTCGGTTGGAAATGCTCGGAACTCGCAGGGTTCAGGTGGCTCTACATCCAGAGGCCACAACCTCAGGGAGTACAGAGACATGGTTCGAGGCACAAGAAACGCGCAGCAAAATGAGAGATTGAGTGAATGACCCAAAGGGATGAGTGAGGACTCTTGACTAGTGCTGGTCATGCTCTCTTCATGTGTACTCTCTAAGATTATTACGAGTTCTCATTCTTCCCTCATTTACCCTTGCCATTGCTCGAGTGAGTCAGTCCTGCATTTTCTGCATTGTTTTGCTTGATGATCACGTTCTCTGATGATCTAGTCACAGTTCTCAAAATTAGTAAATTGGCAAAATTGATGCATGCATGACATATCAGAATTTTATGATTATTATTTGCACGATTCTCTGCTGTGTTCCGAATCAAAATAAAAGATTCCTAAGCCCGGGGACTGGCGAAGACTGCAATTGAAGGGTCTCGCTCGAAGCCGGACGCACACAACAGGAAGGGATTCACTTTATTTAATTTATTTTACTTATTGCAAACATCAACAACTAAATCCTGTGTGACAGCCTGTTGGCTTTCTGGTCGCCTAAAGAGGTCTGACTAGAAAAAGTGCGACAACGCGCGCAGAGATAGGATCGTGGGCGCGCAACCACACGCACACGCGCAGAGACGAGATCGTGGGCGTGCAACCGCATGCACGTGCGCACAGACAATCGGGGTCGAGGGGTGAACAGTCGCGGATAGAAGTGGGCGCCTAGGCGCAAACGAACCGAGCCTTCGAGGGCGCGAATGGGGCACTTGCAAGGATGGGTCCGGGACTCTGGACAGGACCATAACTTTGGTCAGAACCAAGATTTTGGACGGGACCGTGACTTTTGGCCGGGACCGGGAATTTGGACGGGTCTGGGACTCTCGACGGGACCGTGACTTTGGGCAGAACCAGGATTTTGGACGGGACCGTGACTTCTGGACGGGACCAGGACTTTGGACGGGTCTGGGACTCTCGACAAGACCGTGACTTTGGGGAGAACTAGGATTTTGGACGGGACCGTGACTTTCGGACGGGACCGGGACTTTGGATGGGTCCAGGACTTTGGATAAGACTGGGACTTTGGACGGGTCCGGGACTCGGGACGGGACAGTGATTTTGGGCGGAACCGGGACGTTGGACGGACCATGAGTTTAGACCGGGCCGAAGCTACGGTACCGAACAGACCAAGACATCGGGACACCGGGCTCTTGACCCACGTTTAGGGCGTCTGGCGAAGTGGGCCTTTTTCGGATGCGTTGAGGTTGGGAACATGCTTTGAACGGGCTGGGACTTGAGTGGGCTTGGGGCCTTGTGTTCGGGGCGGGCTATCTGACCTGGCCAGACATTGGGAAGACAGGCAAGGACAATCGAAATTCGGGGTGAAAACTTCGAACTGTTACGGTCGTCTGAGGACCTTCGGAGTTTGGCTGGCATACCGGAATCAGACAGGGGTTGTGAGGAGGACCGATGTCCATGGTCAAGCTTGATCTGGAACTATGGCCCTAGTGGGCCCGAGAATCTAACTCCGACACGGGGAGTTTGAGCACAGTCCCTTGGGATCAGCGAGCACGTTACAGACGCCATCCCGTTGGGCGGAGAATCCGTCCTAGGCTGTTAGTAAGATCGATCGGGGCTCCAACCGATTTTCCTGTTTCGGATGCAGGTTTTGTTTCGGGAACCGGGACTAGCGCGGCGGACCCTATTGTTTTAGACTGAATGGAAATACATATTTTGTTTCTTACGAATGCGAGATTGTGAGTTTCCCACTATCGTGTCTTCAATTGGGTTCAGTGGTCATTGTGTGGATCTGGACTCTCTTGCAGGTTACAGGAGCCCCGATCGACCCCCCCGTGGGTGACAGACACGGCGCGAGGTACAGGGTCCGATCGGCGTGTCGACGGAACTCTTCTACCGGTAGACACCGGTACCAGTTAGAGGCCCTGTAGGCCTCGTTTCAGGTACAGGCCCTGGCGCGTGTTTTGGCACCAGACCCAGACTTTGAGGCCGCGCCATTTCGGTAGGCGCTGGAGGCCCAGCCTCAATTTGGGCGCCAGGACTCAGCCACTAAGGCCGACCTAGCGCTATATATAGCTGGGTCCAGCCTCAGTCCGGGTATTCAGTAGAGGATCGAGGAGGCATACTTCGGACGACCGCAGTGCAGTAGTAGTCGACGATAGGACTAGTCTTCCAGTGCTGGGCGCTGATAGAGTAGAGTAGCACAGGGAGGGAGCGATGGTGGTGGCGACCAGAGGACTTGCCTGAGACTTACCTGCATGGCCTTTGCTCCAGCTTCGTCTTCAGCACGTCCGCACCTGCATCAAGGCACCACCTTTCGCAGGTCAGTACCTGGTATAGAGAGAGAGATATCTTCTTCTTCTTCCTCCTCCAGTCCACCACGTTCTCCTTCCCCTCCCAGCGCTCTAGCTTCTTCTTATCCGGCTATGTGAGAGAGAGACAGAGAGACAGAGAGACAGAGAGAGAGAGAGAGAGAGAGAGAGATTGACGTCACTTGGGATTCAGACTCGACATTGGACAGAGATGTTGGGGGGACTGTTTGGGATTGATATCAGCGACATTTGGGTTGACGACATTCTCATCTCTTCCCCATTCTCCTTCGTCTTTTCCCCCTCCTCCTCATCTGTGTATGAGTTAGGCCTGGCACCTTCGTCCTGGTGTGCGGCGCCAGGCCATTCACACCGTGTGATGATGATGATGTATGTCCAGTCTGCGTTTCAACATTGATTGGGTATGATCATTTGTATTCCAGTCTTCCGCTGTGCTATCCTGCTCTCTGTGAGAGGTCGGTTCTTGGTTCTGGTTTGTACCATCTTGGTATGCGACAAGTAGGCAGGGGCCGAGGAATCTCAGTTCTGTTTCGTCATTTTTTTTCCCACGAAGTGCTGCTGGAGGTCTCGGCTGGAGCTGCGCTAATTCAAAGTGTTCGTTCGCCTTCCTCATTGAAGGGAAGCTGACGGCCATAGCTGGGCTTACCTGGCTCGTGCGGAACTGGCCCAGGGACATCAGGCCCTGCTCTGCGAGGTGCTTCCTCCACCGCTGTCCTGTTGGGGTTTCGACAGCTGCCATCGAAGCAGCTTCTCTATGCCTGCTTCGAAGTGGCAGGCCATCATCTTCATCGAGTTGCTGTTCTTATTCATCATCCTGGGACCTGTGCTCCCCTGCTGAGTGGACACTTCATCTGCAGTGGACTTCGTAAGTGGTGCAGAGAGGTGTTGATTCTGGAGGGTGTGTGGCGATTGGCAGGCTTGATAGGTTGGGTGCTCGCAGGCACCATAGCTAGAGCTTGAGGAAGAGGGAGGAAGAAGAAGACTTCCAGATACTTCGATGAAATCTTGTAAACAATTGGTCCGTGGGTGTTGATAACGTGGTTGGGATTCTTGGAACAAGTACTCTGGATTGATTGGAGGAGGACGAGGGATTGCAGAATTAAAATTCGTTTTTTAATTCTCTGTGTATTTTGAGCTTCCGCAGTGCATATCTCCCCTCAGGTTTTGTGTGGATTTGCCTCCTTCAAGTCTGCTCTGCAATTGCATGTATGTATGGGAACGTGTGAATTCGCTGTGGATGGAAGTTCAACCGGGTACATAACATCGGACTGAATTAGAGAGAGAGTAGGAAACAAGACATTTCAACCTCTTACTCACCTTTTCTATGAACTGTGTATCGGAGATTGACTGGAAGCGGTTGAACATATTGCGCAGGTCAACATCCACACGAGCAGCCTCCTCTGCCAGTGACATCACTCTCTCCCTTGCGTCTTCTGATCGTACTCTTATACGTGTGGCAAAATCTTTGAGCAATGTCAGCAGCTTCATTACACAACGTCCAGATCAAACAAATCATGCCATCATTACATGCCAGCACAATATTTTCGCATTCTTTTGCCTTTTCCGAAGTTTTTCTCCTTTCCCTTTCCAACAGCCGCATATGATGTACCAATATATATTTTTTGCTTCTCGGCATGACACAAACTTCAGAGTGGCATCCGAGGCTGATGGAAATCTGAAAGATTTTTAATGATGAAAGGAATTTAGATTAGGGATACGGGTTGTCATTCCCCTCCCC